TGTTTATTGAAATGTCGATTTTTTAACCTTTACTTGGATTGCTTATTGAAATATTTTTTTTTCCCTTTTCTTTAACCTATATTGGAATTGTTTGTCAAAATATTATTGAATTCAATGTTAAATAGTTATAGAAAAGGTTTTTTTTTTTTTTTAATATCAATTTTATATTGGAGAGTAAGGTATCAATGTAGCCATGTAGGGATGTCAAAAAAAGTATGTACGCATTGATTCTCGTAGTGCCATGGCCCTGATGAGACGTGACATCTCTAGTCAATAGACTTATCATGGTGGGATGAGAAGCATGATCCATATAAATAAAAAAGTTAAAAATATTACTCTAGACACGTAAGTTGCAAGCGTGGTATTGGTTAGTGTGAAAAGTCATTACTTGTTAGTAGATTTTACTTGCATTTTCAATTAGACTTTGGATAAAAGGAAGAGGTACGAAAATTACAACAACGGTGTTGTAGTTGAAGGCTATTTAGAAATTTATGCGCTTTTATGCATTGGTACACCACAAGTAAAGCTTGAACGAAGTAAAATCTAGTGGTAAAAGTGAATAATTGGGAATTTAGTGCAAATAACAAATGTTCAATGATTTGCATTTGTATGACGTTTTCCATTTGAAACAAATAAAAGTTTGATTTGAATATTTGTCCGTTGTATTTTGAGGTAAAATTACTATGCGTCGATTGTTTGTTTCTTACTCGGTTTTTGAATTATTTTAAAAGAAAATTTTATTGAATTTTCTATTTATTGACAATTTGCATACGTATAAATCAGAATAAAAGTTTTCCAATGTAATCCCTCAACAACGATGATTTCTAATGGCCTAGAATAATAATTGTTGCAAATGCACTTCGATGATGGGACCCATGAAGGTTCGTTAGAGGGTGACGAAAGTGAAGAATTGTTTCATTTCAAGGCTAAACTCGTGTGGAATCATGATGGTCATTGGGGCTTCGCTCTTGTTAGATTTGGAAAGAGTTATGAATCATTTGTTCTGGCACTACAATGTGATAGGACATTGTCTGTTGAGGGTGTTGGGAAAGATGAGTGACTGTTATCAAGTGACAATATGTATAGATAGATGGCTTGGATGAGCGACCATGATGCAGAAGTATATAAATTTATTTTCACGCACACGCACACGCACACGCACACGCACACGCACACGCACACACTAGGTGAAAGAAACGTGCAATGCACGTTTGCTTAATTCATATTTAATTTATTTGGTTAAGAATAAATCTCTTATTAATGAAGATGTAATTGTTTTGGGTAATTAAATAACTAATGATGTAATGTTTATGTAATTGATAAATAATTACTCGTTGTGATATATTAAAAAAAGCATTAATAGAATCTATGGAATGATCCTATAAATAAACATAGCTCAATAGTTTTATGAAAGGTATTTGAGATAATTTTGATTATAAGATGACGATCCAGCATTTTCCTCATCTTACACTGTTTTAACGGAGAGGACATTAAAATGCCTATATTTTTTCTCTTTCAGTTTCTCTGGATCTACAAAAAGTTGAATCTTCCAAATTTTTTTTGATAATTTCTCTGCAACGCTTTTAATATATGATCGATTTTCCTACAAAATAAATTTTGAATAAGTTTACATAATTAATATAAAAGCCATTTATATTTTAAATAACTTATTATAATGAAACTCAAGTTTTGAAAAAAATTTGAAGAGATACCTCTTCAACATGTTCCATCAATTCAACTGGCTGTTCTGATTTAATTTTTTGGGTTTTTCTTATTGTTTAGATTTAGAAGTAAGACGGTACTGACTTATAGAATGAAAATGTTTTGGCTCCAATATTGAATTTTTCCCTAATTTCACATACGGTTGTGGGCTGCAAATAATGGTTAATCATCAGCTTAATCTTTTAAAGGTCTTTTGATGAACGTTGAAATTTATATATGTTTATTTGTATGTATCTGGGGATGCCTTCTTGCTCGTGCGCCTGCAAGAATCACGTTTATTGGTGTCGTTTATCTTTCTTCTGTACAGAAGGATCAAGATAAATTTTATAGTTGGAAAGTCATATATTTTGAATAAATAAATATTCAAGTAGCTGACTTTTGAGCTAGATCCCAAACTTCAAATTCTAATTTGTAAAGAATATTGTTGATAACAATACTATTTTCATGGTTCTACAATCTATCACTATAGAACGGATCGCTTCTCCAGGTACTCTCTGAATTTTTAGTACCTCAGTAGTTGAGCTTTATTTTCAGATTATATCTGTTACATTTTTCTTCTTATTATTGCTTGACTATAGGGATTACGTTTTATTTGTTCTTGACTTTTTTAATAAGTTTTTAAATAACTTTTATGGATCTTTAAGTTTTATGATATTAGTCGCTTCATTTCTTAGAAATATGAACAAACATGTGTAATGCATAGATAGACTATATACATAATATAAACACACAAAAGACAATAAGACTGACCTTTTTAATGTACCTTCAAATCTTTGCACCACTACACTGCTTCACAACACCTGATTTGAGAGAGACAGTACGGAAAACACATGAAAACCCGTATATAATGCATAGATAGACTTATACACTGTAAACAAAAAATTAAGTTATACTCACTTTTCAATCTTCCTTCAAACCGTACCACCAATACATTGAAAGAAATATAATTTATCAATCACTTTTCAAATGGTAGCACCAGTAAACTGAAAGTAATTGATGGGTTTTCTTATACCCCATTCAATTCCTCTCGGGTTCCTATGAAATATGTCTCTCGGTATTCAAACTTTAAATCTGACCACTGCACTGCTTGGTCATGTATCAGTCACTTGTTTCATTTGCTTTTATTATAAATTATAAGTCATACAGTATATTTGTTCTTAACTTTTTTATAAGTTTTTTAATAACTTTTATGGATCTCTAAGTTTTATGATATTATTCACTTCATTTCTTAGAAATATGAACAAACATGTGTAATGCATAGATAGACTATGTACATAATATAAACACACAAAAGGCAGTAAAACTGACCTTTTTAATGTACCTTCAAACCTTTGCACTACTGCATTGCTTCACCACACCTGATTTGAGAGAGACAGAATTTGAGAGAGACAACACGGAAAAACATGAAAAACCATATATAATGCATCGATAGACTTATGCTGTAAACAAAAAATTAAGTTAGACTCACTTTTCAATCTTCCTTCAAATCGTACCACCAATGCACTAAAAGAAATGGAATTTATCAATCACTTTTCAAATGGTAGCACCAGTAAACTGAAAGTAATAGATGAGTTTTCTTATACCCCATTCAATGCCTCTTGGGTTCCTACGAAATATGTCTGCTGGTATTTAAACTTTAAATCTGACTACTGCACTGCTTGGCCATGTATCAGTCACTTGTCTCATTTGCTTTTATTATAAATTATAAGTCATACAGTATATTAAAAATACTTATTATAAATTTCTATTGCATGTGATTAAAATCTGTCTCCACGTATTTATAACTTATATTTTCTCTCTGGTTACAGCTTCCATTCCAATGCGTGGACAAGATTCAAAAATTCAGCCGCTGGAACACGTACAAAAGGGGAAAAATAAGAGCAAATGAGACTCTAATTTTTCCCAATTGTAACTTATTATAATGTTTTTTGTCATTACAATGTCTAGGAGAAGACAATGGTATCCCTACCTAGAGTCAACGTGTATAATTTGCCACTATTTTTCTACTAAATTTTGAGTTCTCAAGTAAAAGATGAAAATACCCTTAAAATGGGCTCAGACGCTTGGATCATCGTTTGGGCCCAGAGACGACCATGTGCGCGGTAGAGCTCGCCCAAAAATATCAAAATCATCCCTAACCTCGATTCTAACAACATATCTACCTCAAGCCATGCATTAAAAGTATAAATGCATAGATTCTATCAAGATTGAATGTAAAAATCAAAGAGTATTTACCAATTTGTAAAATCATAAAATTTAAACAATAAAAACAAAAACTAACATTGATTAAATGTGTAGAAGATGATGAATATGATAATGGTGAATAATGTTGATGTCGATTTCGTCGGTAAGACTTTTCCCATTTTTTCTGAATTTTTTTCTCTCTTTCTTTCTTTCTTTCTTTGAAATGAAGGATATATACAAAAGGGGAAAAATAAGAGCAAATGAGACTCTAATTTTTCCCAATTGTAACTTATTATAATGTTTTTTGTCATTACAATGTATAGGAGAAGACAATGGTATCCCTACCTAGAGTCAACGTGTATAATTTGCCACTGTTTTTCTACTAAATTTTGAGTTCTCAAGTAAAAGATGAAAATACCCTTAAAATGGGCTCAGACGCTTGGATCATCGCTTGGGCCCAGAGACGACCATGTGCCCGGTAGAGCTCGCCCAAAAATATCAAAATCCCTAACCTCGATTCTAACAACATATCTACCTCAGGCCATGCATTAAAAGTATAAATGCATAGATTCTATCAAGATTGAATGTAAAAATCAAAGAGTATTTACCAATTTGTAAAATCATAAAATGTAAACAATAAAAACAAAAACTAACATTGATTAAATGTGTAGAAGATGATGAATATGATAATGGTGAATAATGTTGATGTCGATTTCGTCGGTAAGACTTTTCCCATTTTTTCTGAATTTTTTTCACTCTTTTAAAGAAAGAAACTTTACTTCCTATATTGGGAGATTTTGTTAATTTTTAAAATAAAATCTGGTAAGGGTGGAAATTGGGCTGGGTCAACTGGCCAGTAGGCCTTGATATTGCAATGGACAATCTCATTGTAGATTGAGCCCACGTGCCAATTGAGTAGGCCCAACACTATTAGTCGGGCTTCCGATATGAATTACTGCACTCCTTCCCGATCTTACCTTTTTAGTTTTTATATGCCCATTTCAGCCCTAAGAATTTTCATCCTCAGCTTTCGTCTCTCTTTGCTAAACCCTAATATTCTCTCTAAAACCCTTATTTTTTTCTCTCTCACTGCAATGGAGTTTTGGGGTAAGCATTTCTAGTTTTCCCATTTCGCTATTTTACATATCTATCTACATATTTTTGCTCATTGTTTCGTTTTTTTCGGTGATTCTGGGATTTTTTTTTCTCCTGTTTATATATATATATATATGCGAGTTTTATTTGTGCGATTCTGGTCTTTTGTGGATGTTGCCTCTTTCAAAATAAATACCAAGTACCAACACATACGCTTATTCTTAATGAATTTACGTATCGTCTCAGTGTTCAAATTTGTGGTATGGTAGATTCTGAGACTAGACGTGTTTGCAATATAGGTACACTGCATATCAATTTTAATGTATTCTGGTAACTGTATTGCTATCATGTGTTTTATTTTTATTTTTTTGATTTTATTTTCACCATTACAGTTTGTTGTTTCTCCCTTAGGAAGAACACACACACTGATTCTTTTTCTATATTTCACTATCTCAAGATTGAAAGTTTGAATCATTAGCAGAACGATATTTTGGTATGTACTAGATAATTTAGAAGCTACGATGATTTGAGATATTTCGATGTTGACAATTTATAGGTGCATCACAATTTATGCACGTTATGAAAGTATTAAATTATGCCAAAGAGAATAAATGATCCCGATAATTGCAGCTTAGTTTATGCATTTATAGCAAAAAATGTCTTGAAGAAGCAATTTTGTTTGAATAATTTTCCGTCAACTTTTTCAGCTGTTTAGACTCTGTCGATATTTATGTGGCATTAGATTTTATTATCTCTTGTTACCATATGATTATGTGTTGGGTGTATTTTGTTGAAGCCATACTCATAATTTTAATTTCCAGGTGCTGAGGTGAAGAGTGGAGAGCCCCTTCTGGTTATGCCTGGCGAGGGCATGGTTTTGCATCTCTCTCAGGTATGATGGAAAGTTTGTTCTGTATGGATGTTTTTGTTTTTCGTAATTCATTTCATTTTTATATTGGTAATATGCTTCTTTCTGCAGGCTTGTCTAGGTGAGATGAAAAAGGAGAAGGGAAACGAATCCGTCTGCTTGTTCATAAAAGTTGATGGAAAGAAACTAGTTCTAGGAACTCTATTTTCGGAAAAGTTGCCTCAGCAACAATTTGACTTGGTTTTCGATAGGGGCTTTGAGCTATCACACAACTGGAAAAGTGGAAGTGTCTACTTCTATGGTTACAAGGCCAGCAATCCTTTTGAAGAAGAATATCCTTTTTATGTCTATGAATTTGTTTCCTTTTTAAAAATCTTTGCAAAAATTTTGGTTCTTCATGTTCCCAGAGAAAACGAAACACTAGATTTTAGTTCGGTTTCCTTGACCAGATGTTTTCTTTCGTCATTACTGAATCGGAGGATGGAGAATCTGGTTAGCATCTGTTTCTTTGATCTCTATTCATGGCCCTTACATGTTTCTCACTCCTAACTCTTCCCCTCCTGTATACATGTTTTTGGTGTTTTTCATTAGCAAGGGACTGACATGCTTCTATCTCATATTCAGATGAATCTGAACCTGAGGAGGCTATACCGCTTACTCTGGCAAATAATGGTATAACATATTGGATCTATGTGAAACTGCTATACGAAATGATTAAGCTAAACCTCTATATAAGATTTTATATATACATATTCAGGGAAATCAGAGGCAACTGTTAAGCAAGAGAAACCTGCAGGACCTCAGAAGTCAAATGTTGCCAAAGACAAGGGCTCTGCTGCTGGAAAGCAAAAGGTGAAGATTGTAGAGCCAAACAAAGAGGAGAATCCGGAGGATGATGATGAAAGTAGTGATGAAGATTTATCGTCTGGGGACGACGACGACGACTCCAAGGTATGCTTAATCCATTCGTCCGTTTAACTTGAAATCTTGTTATATTGTTTATTTTAATTATAGAAATGCGCGTATGTTTCAGCATGTGCTAACGGTAGTTCACTGAAGATGCCACCTGAAAATTCTATAACTACTATTCTGCATTTTCTGAGCTGCTGTTGTATTTTAGAAAGACTAGGAGTGAACAGTTAAAGCTCTACCTCCTGTGTTTAAAATCATAATGTATGTTTTTTAATTTGTAGTTTTTTCTTGTGTGCTGCTCTTACAGGTGATTTTTGCACATGCAAGATTTCAATGCTCTCTAGAAATAGTGATGTTATCCGTTCGATAATTTCATGTTTTGCTAAATATGAGAATTCTTTGTACATTTCATTTTATGTTATTTATTATGTCACGGTATGAAGGTTCTGAGCATTTCTTTGTGTTAGATGAAATTTCTTGGTATTATTACAAGCTGTGATGTCTCTAATGTTTGCTTTTGCTTTAAAGTTTATTAACTTGATTCGAGACATGTAAGAACATTGTAAACCAGGTGGTCTTGTGAGGATAACAGTTGAATTTTTTGACATACTGTGAAACTCTTCTATTCGGTCGGTTGCATAACATTTTTTTTATGTGCATTGGTTGATGTCCTACTTTACTACCAATTTTTTATATATTGCAGGATGAGGATGACAGCGATGATTCTGATGAAAGTGATGAAGAGACACCAAAGAAGGTAGTGTGTAATTCCTTCCTCGGTTTTCTTTCATGTTCCAAAGCACTAAAGGTTTTAGTTTACCTTCTGATGATTCTCTATTTTGATGAAGGTTGAACCTAGCAAGAAAAGACCTGCAGAGTCAGCTGCCAAAACACCTGTTACAGATAAGAAGGCAAAAACAACTCCACAGAAAACTGGTGATTTTTCTTGTTCTTTATTTACATTTTATTATTCCCGTCTATAGTAAGACTGTATTTTTTACTTTAAATAATATACTTGCACAGAGATTCTGTTCATTTTAATAAAAAGTTTCTGAAGTGGACCAAAGTCTGATGGGTTGCATGTTAGTCAGTCTAATTGCTGACTGGATTTTTATATTGAATATATATTGCTTTTACTGTTCTATTCCTCTCTGGACTGATAATGTATAATTTTCTAATACTCCAGATAGCAAGAAAGGTGGTGGTCATGTTGCTACACCTCACCCCTCCAAACAGACCGCAAAAACTCCTGCCAACAAGCCAAACCAGCAGACTCCGAAATCTGCTGGATCACATGCTTGCAAGAGCTGCAACAGGTATGTTTTGAAGCCATTATTACCTGGAGATTTTATAGAAACGACACGATTAACACTAGTATGTTTTTTGGATTTTTTTTGTTACAGGACATTTAATTCTGAGAATGCTCTGGAGTCCCACTCAAAGGCTAAGCACAGCAGTGGAAAGTAATTGATTTTTGCACATCATTTTAGATTTTGCACTGTAAGTTTTGGTGGCTGGGCAGTGTTGAAGGCAAGTGGTACGCTGTATTAGGTTTTGTTCCATGTAGCGACGAGTAGATTTTTTGGGCTTCCTACAGTCTAATTCAGTGCGAATCAAGTTCTGCTGCTATGTTGGATGGTATTTCTGACTGTTAACATGGATGCTGTCTACAATATCTTTCTTTATAACATTCTATTTTTGAGTTTCCGCATACTATGATTTAGTATTGGTAGCACAGATATCATGGCTTTGCCAAAACTTCTTGGCCGTCTAGTTACCAAAAAACAGGGGATTCATGCAGAAGTGAAAGCTGTTGATGGCCAGTCCTTTATGAGGATTTTTTTTCTTTTCTTGTTTTCCATTTATAAATTGTTTTATAAATTAATGGTTGCACGTAAAAAATACCCAGCTAACTTTAATTGCTTCGCTAAAATAAAAATGTCAATTTTACTCGTTATGTATTACTAAGTGTGTTGATAACGGGTTTTATCATTTTACCATTTTTATTTTATAGAGACGATTAGTGTGGTCTGTGATACAATTCAATAGAATTGAGAAATAATCAACGTACTTTTTAATTGCATTTTAAGCACTTTTGCGTACAAAATTCTGTCATATTTTGTCTGAATACTGCTTCGAGGCTTATGAAATATATTTTTGTTTTGAGAGTCGTTGGAGATTGAGGTACTACTTTTATACGAATGAAGTGTACAGTGTGTTGAGAGAAAATTACTCGAAATCTTGAGAATTAAGGATATCAGTTTTGCTTTAATAACGTAAAATTTGTCGAGTTTTGACATTGCAAGTTTGACTTATCTATGCTTGCATACGACATACTTGTATATCGAAGCATGATCCTAGCGCGTATGCACCTTCTGTGAATGAAGATGCACTAGTCATATTTTGTACAGACGCTCTTTATGTTGAACTTAACAATTTCAATTAATAGTGGACATCGATAGAAAACACAACTTTTATGTGACTATGAACCACTTGATATTTCGTTATAAGGTCTCGTAGGTAAAATACGTAGATGTTGAAAACACCATACATCTCAAATAATTTAATGATTGTGTCACATTGTGTAATATTTAGTATCTGTTTGGTTTGACTTAAAATTTTATTAAAATTAATAATTAATTTTAACCATTTATTTTATGAGACTTACAATTTTTCAATTACATATTTTATTAAAATCTATTAAAAAAATTAATTTTTAACTCTGCCAATTATGAGTTCAATGAAAGTTCACCTAAAATTACCTGTCCAAAAACCTAGGGCAATACAAAGAGGAATTATCATACTCCGGGTAGTATATTAGAATAATGATATCTAAAATCATCCGTGTTACAATACTAATTTGGATGACGCTAAGTGATAGATTAATAAAAGATAAAATTAATTGATTCATTAATATAAATTTTGATGATCCTAAACGATACACTTTGACTCATTTAAAAATATACATCTTGTTTAATACCTTATGATCGAGTTAATTAAATCAATAGCCACTAAATTTTATCTAGGTTGCTACTTGTTTACTGAATTAAAAAAAAAAAAAAAAGTTACTCACTACTCACTCACTTATTTAAATATTTACCCACCCATCACTCATTAACGGAAAAGTCCACTTATGCAACGGAAAGCCAATGTGGCCTATTGACATTGTTAACTTCTGTCAGATTGTCAAATACAATTCAAACCAAATACACATTTTCTTTAATTTTAAACACGTTGTTACCCAAAGGCCAATTTTCCCCAGATAAAATACCTTGAATCCCAAATTGAAAAACATAGCGTCTTCTTCCCCAAATCAGTCTACGAGATTCTTCTCCCCTAAAAAATGACAATCGAATTGAACCCTACAAAAAGAAATCCAAGAAATGAAGAGCAACAACCACGACCAACTCTTCCAAATTTCACTTCATGCCAATGCCTAGATGATGGAAAAGTGGAAGACTGAAGCTTTTGTACAAACCAAGACAAAAAATTTGCAACTTGAAATCATGTTTGAATATTTGTAGGAGATTAATGGCCCAAAAAAATGCAAGAAATAAGGCTGCTAAGGCAAAGAATAGAAGGGTAGTAAAAGGGTCAATGTCATTTACACCGCCGAGGGCAGGGAAGAATTCATCAACTTTTTTATCTTGTTGGAGAGGTTTTGAAGTTCTGCAAATGTTACAATATTTAAGTTTTTTTTGTTTGAAGTACTTTATTTAGTTGTTTGGGTAGCACTTGTTGTACCAAAATTAAGAGTGAAAATTTCAATTAATTGGGGACATGGTAGAATCCATTTCAACTCGACAATTTTGTTGACTAGAGCATGAAATCAAAGTTCTTTCATTTTGGGGAAGAATGCGATTTATGAACCGGGCTGGAATTGGGAAAGAAGGAGAGTTGGAGGAAACGAAGATTACTCATTGAAGAAGTGTTTTCAATTTCACTTTTTATTTATTTATTTACAAAATACAAATCTCTGATGACGTGACTATGATTCACCCATTTTGTATGGCATGTCAAATTTTCATGTGCCACGTTCTTTATAAACAATTAGATATGTTTTGAAATTAGCTAGGATGATGGATGGGTAAAGTAATGAATATTTTGGCATTAGATAATCATTTAATTTTCAGTGAGAAAATTAGTAATCATAAATAAAGTTGAGGGGCCACTGATTTAATTAACTCCCTTAGCGTTAGACTACTCTTTTTCCCAAAACCCTAATATTCAAATTCCACCGTACCGCTGCTATCTTTGCCCAGACAACTCTTTCTTCCGAAAACCTAATAATCATTCTCTAGAACCCCAAACTTTGGATTTTTCACTCTCTCATTCACTCAGTAATGGAATTTTGGGGTAAAGTTATCTCGTTTGTTTTCATTACCTGTCTATATATATTTTCGTTTCGTTTTCTAGATGCTTTTAGGATTTTACGGTTATTTAGTTCACTAAAGTTAGTCTGGTAGTGTGAATTTTCTATATGAAATTCATGTGTGTAGTAGATTACATTGCATATATTGTGAAAGTATGAGCACGGATGAAATTCTCTGTTTTTTCATGTTGGGAAATTTGGAGACTGTTAAATCACTTTTCAAAGAAAGTACAATGGAAACGGATGCGTAAGCATTCTTATGATTTTATGTTCTGCCCGTGTAAAATCTGTGGGCAAGGAACACAGATGTTTCCCAACTTCACTTTGTTCCAACTTACCGATTGGACTTTCGTTTTTGTCTTAGTTTGATATCTCTGGGACGCTTCATTTGCTGAATTGATGAAAAAGTAAATGATGTTACCATTAATTCTTATGTTGGCGCCATGTGCAAAATGTGTTTTTATATGATAAAATTGAATTGAATACGATTTCATATAAGAAAAAAGTACTAAAAAGGAAACTCACCCCCACAGGCAGCTTCCCATCGCTCCTCTGCCTGTCAAACATGGCTCACCTCCCACAATTAGCCTTCTACATTACTCAGAATGCCTCCTGAATGTGAATCGGTTATTTCTTGATGATAACTTGACCTAAGCCATTTCTTTTTTATTAAATCTATTTCCTGCTTGATATTATGAAGTCATCATTATCCTTAAGCTAAAGTTTACAAGAATTTGTAAATATGAGCGAGGAAACAAATGGCTATTCGGACAGGACCATTGTTTGAATTCCTCGAATTAAGGGTATTTGATGGAGGGATATTCCCAGTGTGACCATAACAACGGATTCAAATGGCAATTATACAGTTGGGCCATCAAGGACGATGAAAAGGGTCTTGGCTGGTGAGCGCGTGGCAGGCTTGGGTTGCTGGGATGGTTATCCCTTTCTTTTTTCTTTCATGAAATCACAAATTTTCAAAATATGATTTAGGAATTGAAAACCCTCTTTTGTAGGTGTAGCATTCAGATTCGTGTAGGTAACGGTAGAATGGTGATACGTAGGGTTATCCACATCATCTTTCTATTAGTTGGTCAAATGAACCTTGACAGCAGATAGAAACAACAGCACAGTGACTAAATTGGAATAATATGACATTGGGTGACCAACTTGAAATTTCAATCAAAGTTAGATGGCCAACTTGTGTTTGAACCCAAAAATCTGTGGCATTGTAAATTTAATACTATATGGGTTAGCTATACTGCTATACTCCACATATGTATTAATATATTGCAATAAAATTCTTGTTATTGTTTGTGTCATCATACTTAACACAACAGTCAATTTATTTATTTATTTTTTTCTATTTTGAAAATTGAAATTTTCCATGCATAATAGGATGATATTCTGTGTTTACTCTTGTACAGAACAGCTAGTACCATTTATGTCAGTTCCTCACCTGTTGCAGAGTTGATGAATCTGCAGTTGAGACTTCCATAATGGTGCTTTAGTACTAAGAATACAAGTATTGCCAATTAGTGATAGAATATGGCGATGATTCTATGTGTATACATATTCACCTATATTTGGAAGCAACGATGTGTTTAGATTCTCCTTGATGTCAATATCTTCTAACTACGATTGAAGTGCATTGGACCATAATCTATTTATGGAGAAGAGATTAAATGATCTTAGATAATATGTCAGGATGAGCAATGCATTAATTGAAAAATGTGTTACGAGACGAAATTGTGTTTGGATTCCTGTCTTCAATTTTTGTAGTTGTTAGTGCTATGCTGATAATATATTCTCATTTTAGATTTCATTTGTCTCTTTTCACACTGTTGCTATGTTATTTTATGGAAAACCTACTCAGTAATTTTTATTTTCAGGTGTTGAGGTGAAAAGTGGTGAACATCTTCCCGTTACACCTGGTGAGGGTATGATTTTGCATCTTTCGCAGGTATGGAAGATAGTTTTATTTTTGTAGATGTGTTGTTGCAATTGATTTCCTCCTATGGCTTTACCTTGAAAATTATTCTCTCATGCAGGCTAATCTCGGTGAGCTGAAAAAGGAGAAAGCAAACGAATCTATTTGCTTGTTTCTCAAAGTTGATGGAAAGATGCTAGTGCTTGGAACACTTTTTACTGAAAAGTTGCCTCAGCAACAATTAGATTTGGTGTTCGATAGAGACTTTGAGCTATCACACAACTGGAAAAATGGAAGCGTCTTCTTTTATGGATACAAGGCCAGTAACCCCTTCGAAGAAGAATATCCTTTTTATATGCCCGCAATACTTCTTCTTTGTTTTCTTTTTAATATCTTTGCACATATTTTGGTCCTTCATGTTACTGAGAAAATGAATTACTACATATAAATTTCGAAGAAGAATATCCTTTTTATATGCCCGCAATACTTCTTCTTTGTTTTCTTTTTAAATATCTTTGCACATATTTTGGTCCTTCATGTTACTGAGAAAATGAATTACTACATATAAATTTGGTTTCCTTGACCATATGCTTTCTTCTGTCATCACTGAATTTGAGGATGGAGAATCCGGTGAGCCTCTCTCTCTCTCTCTCATCTCAGTTCATAGCCACTTCGTTGTGTCTTACTCTTACTGCTTCCCCTTTGAATGTCAACTTGCTGTTTTGGTGTTTTTCTTTAGTAAGTGACTGACACACTTGTATCTATTATTCAGATGAATCCGACTCTGAGGAGGCTATCCCGCTTACTGTTTCAAATAATGGTAGAAGACGTTAGACCCTATGGGTTTATCATACAAAAATTTTCGGTTAATCTTTATAATAGGATTTTTTAAATGAATTTCCAGGAAAACCAGAGACCACTGTTAAGCAAGAGAAACCTGCAGGACCTCAGAAGTCAAATGCTGTGAAAAATAAAGGCTCTGATGCTGCAAAACAAAAGGTGAAAATTGTGGAGCCAAATAAAGATGAGGGTGATGATGAAAGTACTGATGAAGACTTCATGTCTGAGGACGACGGCGAAGATGACTCAAAGGTCTGCTCAATCCATTTATTTTTTATCATGTAAATATACTGTTCAAGTATCTATTTGTTTCTAATGATCTCAATTCTTGCATGCTTCACCGTGAACTATCAATTCTGTGATACTGAGTATATGGTCAATATTTTATTTTCTTTGGGTGTTTGTGTCTAGTATATTGCTATAAATAGTCGTTGATGGTGTATTTTGTCTTTGTTGGGGGCGTGTGCAACATTTATGTGATAGGGAATGAATGGCAGAAACTCCACCCTTCGTGTCTACAATTTCAACACACCTAATTCGTACTTTTTCACGTCTGCTTGAAGGTGATTATTGTGGATGCCAAATTTTGATCTTTTTGGAACTTCTAATGTACTTCATTTCATAATGTCATGTTACGGTAAATGAGAGAAGTTTGTATGATTCACCTATGTGATTTCTATGTCATGGCGGTGAATATAAAGCAATTGTTAGTGTTGGACGAAATTTCCTGGCATTACTAGCTATGCCCTATCTACTGTTTGTTTTGGACATGAGAATTTTATTGTATTGGCGCGTATGAACATTGGTATTGTTGGGAGGATAATAGTGGAATTTATGACACAGTCTGGAAGTGATATGCATAACATTTTTTTATTAAAATGGTGCAAGTATGTTGTCCTACTTAAACATAACCATTTTTATGGTATTTCAGGATGAGGATGATAGCGACAACTCTGATGAAGATTCTGATGGAAGTGATGAAGAGACACCAAACAAGGTAGCTTGTAATTTATTCCACTGTTGTCTTTCAGTGTCGAAAGAGCTTAAGGTTGTAATTCACTTGGTGATTGTTTTATATTTTGTTGAAGGCTGAACCTAGCAAGAAAAGAGCTGCAGAGTCAGCTGCCAAAACACCTGTTGCAGATAAAAAGGCAAAGGCAACTCCACAGAAAACTAGTAATTTTCTTCTTCATTCACGTTTTATTATCCTTCTCTACATTAAGGTTGTAATTTTTTTTTAAACATTGAACAAACTTTAAAAAACTTCTGTGTTTGGTTGTTGGAAGAAATTTTTGAAGTGAACCTGATTTTAGTCTGATCAATGTTGCACAATATTCAATATAACCGCTGACAGGATTTGTAAATTGATGTCTATAATTTTTTACCTTTGATTCCTCTCTTTGGACTGAATGTCTAATTTACTTAATGTTGTTGCTCAGATAGCAAGAAGGCTGGTGGTCATGTGGCCACACCCCACCCCGCTAAACAGGGTGGGAAGGCTTCTGCCAACAAGCCAAACCAGCAGACTCCGAAATCAGTTGGATCACATGCCTGCAAGAGCTGCAACAGGTATTTTTTGAAGCCATTATTAGCTAAATCTGGAAAAGAAACTAAAGGACTAATTAAGTAATTTTCTCAAAATTTCTCCTTGCAGGACGTTTAATTCTGAAAACGCTCTAGAGTCACACAGTAAAGCTAAGCATAGCAGTGGAAAGTAGTTTTGTGCTTTGTCATCCTTTCAAGATTTTGCAACAGTTTCCTAATTTTAAGGGAAGTGTTAGATTATTAGGTATTGTTCTCTTTAGAGACGAGTGGATTATTTTGAGATACTGCAGTCATATTCGGTGCGGCTTGAATTTGGTCGGATGAGGTTTCTGATTATTGACATGAATGTTCGTCAAAGTATCTTTCTTCCTATTATATTCTATACTACTATGGAGTTTGGCCTTCCGTATTACCTTCATGGCTTTTATGGTCCCAAAAAATAGACTACATTGTCAGTAGCTCCTTCATTTTTGGAATAGTTGGTTAAAAACTTTGGTCAACTCCACGTCCTTGGCTGTATAGCCATAACATGTTAATTGAATGACTCAGTTTTAGGATGACATGTTTAGCAATTGTAAACTGTTATGAAGTTTAACTGCAGAGGATGGCTGATGATCTAGCTTGATCGTTTGTTTGAGCGAGGAGATTCGTCCATAATTAGTTTTGTTTTATCACTCGCACTCACTTGTGTATAGCGCGTTTCCAATAAAGCTTATAGGTTTTCGAATGGTGCATCTTTTTGAGGTGTACGGTAGAGGGGGATCTGAGGGAGTCAACAATGAAGTCAGTAAGATGGAGAGAAGCGGTAATGTGTGTACAAAAAGAATCACATATAGTTGATTATACTCTTGGTATGAATTTGAGACTGAAAATTAGATAATCTCAACTTTGATAAAGCTCAAAAAGCAAATAGAAAAGACGAAAAATATGCAAAAATCGTGTCAACTTTTTATGCTCTGATCAATCAATGTGTTCTCATTTCAGATATTGGTCTCTTTAGATGTTTAGCGTTAACAGCAGTTTGCCGGAGGAGATGGGTTTAGGGGAGGATTCAATATTTTTTTCAAGATTATTAAAACCACAAGCCCCAAAATCAAGTGCAAATTATAGAACCCTCTTAACACAATACACAAAAAAATCCTAAAATAATGAATTAAAAAATCAAGAAAAATTAAGCAATGTGACCTTTGTGCTGTTGCAATCTAGCCGCTGTAGATGTGGATGCCCATGAAGATGGTGATTTTAATGATGGAAGCAAGATGCAACCAACTTATTTGCATATTCCCAAAGTTCCTCACTCTACTCAATGACACAAAAAGCAGTAAAGCAATCATTGCGGACCCCCAATCTTGCATCTACCTTGCAATAAGAGCATACGCTTGTGTGGTAAGGGAGACTGTCTTTTTTTTATCCCAAATTAATAAAAAAATTAATTCAATATAGACTCAAAAAATTTTCATTACCTGAAGCTCAAAGTTGACGGTCAATGGAGACTGCTATCGGTCAACGAATGCCATCCATAATTCAATTTGATCATGATAACCAGGGAATTTCTGTAGACACTAGGCTGTGAACATAAACCACACTTAAAAGGGTAATGGTTAAGGTTTAATAGACAAAATGTGGCTCAGTCCGCCTTCTCGTGTTCCTTGGGTAGCTGACTCGGCTTTCAGTTCTGCCATAAATTTTGAACCTCAACGGGGTTCAGCATGAATCAGGAAAATGAAGTAGTTCATTTCAAAAATCATACTAACATAAATGAATTGCACTGCTACAAAAGCATCAAACATTTGTATGGCCGCCCAACTCCGAACAGTGTCAGTAAATAAACAAGAAGTGCAATATTTTCATCAAACAAAGCAAATTTGTTGAAGCTGATCGTACAAAGACAGGACTAGAAATTACAATGAGTTTCTATAGCACTAACGGGGAAGAAAGGCCAAAATTTGCTCTGGTGGACATACCAGAAGTACAAGCCTGATAAAATTTACTGCTAACACAACTAAAACTGTCCTGGTTGCTGTTTGATAAACCCATTTTCCCTTGGAATGAACACTGCAACACAAAAATTGATTTCTTCGATTTTGCCACCATCAAACATGCTGAATTGGGTTATCTTTCTCCAGAGAGAAAAGCGTCAACCTGTACATAAATATCACTACTATAAAAAAATGAGGCATGTCCAGAGGCAGGAGTAGATAATGCTGCAACTTGAAAGCGTGCATTACATAATTCTTCATATAAATATTCATGAAATATATCAACCATGATTTCTCAAAACAAACAAAATGTAGAAATATAAATTACCAGTAAACTAAGCCAGCTCCGGGAATTTCTTAAAGAATTGGACTGGGAAGATATACTATGGAGTTTTAGATTTAATGAATTATTTGAAGAAACAGAGATATAAAAAATAAGATGCCCAAAGAAAAGGATAACAGATTGCTCAAGTAAAATAATTATAATAGTTTAGTTTACCAGTAAACTAAGCCATCTCGGGGAATTTCTTAAAGAATTGTACTGGGTACTGGGTAGATATACTACGAAGTTTTAGAATTATTTGAAGAAAAGGAGATATAACAAATAAGATGCTCAAAGAAAAGGAAAACAAATTGCTATAATGGTTTAGTATACTCCAGTATTTCCACTTTTTCAGATGAGCAATTTGAATTTTGCATATTGATTGATTCTAAAAAATGATTGCAGAGTTGATCATTCGGACCTTCCCATTCACAGAGGTAAATCTCATACCTACCCATATTAATGAGGATATTCCCGAAACCTCACAGTACAAGTTTCATAACCATCAAATTATGTTGTAGTTGTATAGAAGTATCTGAACATATCTTGCCATAAAGCACTCGGGTCTTCTTTTTCATCTTCGATTACGGGACATTTTCCACAAGCACAGTACCACTTTTTTTAGGTACGCAGTATCTTTTCAATTCATAAAAAGTTGTCTTACAACGTAAAATAATTGAATAAATAGTCTTTCAATAAGAATTGTAAAATAATTCTTATTCTAATCTATTGCAAGTCTTTCAAAAAAAAAGTCTTCCAATATATCAAGGATCTCCATCAATAAGCTTCAGAAATAATTGGAAAAAATGTACAGATGAAGGCATAGATCCGACGGTGGTTGAACTGGAGGCAGACAAGTGAAATAATCTTTGAAATATATAAGACACAGACCACTACTTTTTTCAATTAAAATAAAGAATTCCATTGGATTAGTCAAAATATAAATACATATATTTGAAGGGAAAAAAAAACAGAGAATCACTGAATTTTTCTGGTCTTTTAACGAGGTCATGATATAGCAGCAATTACGATATTGTTGGTACTTCCTGCTTACATCCTAAAACCATAGACTAAGGCTGGCACAAGTGAAGAGAGAAAGGAGACTTGTGATGCTTTTCCAACTATCAAATGTTCATCAGTATTCAGTAAACGGAGAAATAAGCAAGATATCCCAGGAAAAAGAACTTCGATCCCACAAACCAAGTTTAGCAAAAAAAATCTCTCCTAAGGATAATAAAAAATGATCATGGCAGACAATATTAGTTAAACTAGAACAAGAGAACAAACCGTGAAAGCTGAAAGCCACTTGATCAGTGGTTATGATTTCCAGTCCCCTGCTCCGGTGAGCCTGGTGACCGTCTATTCTTGTGATTAGACTGGTTTCCACTGTGTTCAAGGCCATTGCTATTGTCATTCACATTATCCCTGGCAGATTCTCCATGCTCTCTTTCCCTATTCCACTGCTCTATTTTTGCCCTTCTCTCCATACTGCTTTCCCGAACTGGACTCCTGTTTCTCCTGCCCCCAGGGCTTCTGCTTCGTCCACCTCTGCGACCAGGACTTCTGCTTCTAGGTCTCCTGCCTTTATCATGGCGGCGGTGGTCGTTTCTTCTTCCAAAACCATGGCCACCACGTGAATGCTCCTCATAATCATGCAGGCGAGGACTTCGGCTTCTGCTTCTACTGCGGCCATGCCTTCCTCTACTCCTCCCAAATAACTTCCTCCTCAGCTCTCTTCAACCAATAGACAAAAAAATAAATTGGCAACTTACATGGTAAAAGGCAAGCAAACGCTTCAATTTCAAACTAACCTGCTTATCTTTTTCAGATGCATGAAATTGCAATATCCACCTCGATTGCATTCATTTTCCTCATACTGCCTACAAGTGGCTTCACGAAAATCCGTCACAGGGGAGAAGTCAACAATAATGGGACGCCCTAATAAGTTCAAATTTTATTCCGGTAAGAGACAACGTAACCAAGCAGACAATAGTAATTAAATGTAACTCTTGCTAATGTTACAAAGAGATCCAAGTTAAACTAATAGAGTGAAAATTGTAATAAGTAAATATGAAACTGGACATTTCTTTGCATTTTCTTAAAAAACTATGTCAGCAACTTTTTCATTTTCTTCAAAAACTAGGTCTGCAACTTTTGAGAAGACAATCCTCTTTCACCAGTGCAGCTCAATTGTAAACTACTTCCAACAAGCACGTCTAATCACGAGTCGAGAACTTGTGTATCTACACTTCTATCAAATTAATCATATGCAGCCAGAAGTTTCTTGAACTAGCTCGTGAGATACGTCCTGTCGTTTCACTCTTTGATCAAATTACTCATTCCATCAGACAAAAACCATTGAACTTGGAAAATTGCTAGGTATATCTATTGGATATCAGGGATTCACAACCTTAGAAAACCCAAGTGCTTCATCCTCCCACATTCCTCAAAAAATGAGAAAAAAGATGATGATGATGATAGTTTTGATTAGTTTTGAACTTTTGTCACAGCGAATGGACTAAATACTGTTGGAGGGCGATCTAATTCTAGATCAGATTATAATGCAGACGAGCAACACCATTACTATTTCTTTATCCACAAAATAAAAGAATTGAGACAGAAAATCTTACACCTAATGCCACCAGTACATCTCTTCGAGATAAATGATTGTATAACAAAATGAATAGAACTAGCCTGCATAAAACCTTCCGCTAAGATTCTGAAGTGCACTGGCAGCATGGTCTTCCTCTCTAAATTGGACGTAAACATTGCCAACCATGTGATCAGCCAAGTTATCGCAGATGTTGAGGCTCTGAAGATCTCCATATTTGCTCAGCTCCTCAAACAAATCTTCATAGAAATCCTGTATGTTAAAAAACAAACCATTTAATAAAGTTAGGATTTTTCCTTCATACTTCATAGAAATCCACAGAGTCACTACAGTTATGATTTCTGCTTTTCGTTCTCTCTCACTAAAATTCATGCTTGCTCATACACCTTGAATATCAAAACAAGATGATGATTGCTAAAACCAACTATTTTGGTGAGCCAATCTTGAATAACATAACTGGCTTGTCAGATCTACTTTTAATAATCTTACCAAGTTCACCGCACAATCCCTAAATAGCGATTTCTCCTTATTTTTGTTTCTCAGTATAATATCACACCAGAGTATGCGCACACTTTCTTAGCAATCCAAGTGGCTAAATATGCAAACCCAATACTTAAATATATTGTAAAACATAACTGCACCAATTCTAAGAAACTAAATGCAGAACAATTGACCTGTAGCTCAATGCATCCAGAGAATCTTAACTGAATCTCACACATATCACACGCACAACAGATCATTCAAATAAAATAAACCAGGCAAATTTTATGCTTATACATGTAAATATATGAATTTTGAACGTGAATTTTACCTCAAAATGGTTTTGGATTTGCTTAGGGTCAAGAGGCTGGCCTTGGGGATCGACTCCGGTAGCGATCATCTCAGGGCGCTGATACATGTTGGCAAGCACTATGGTTGGACTGATGCTCGGCTTAGTGTGAAGGCGCGAGCACCGGTCCCCGTGTCGGCAGGCCCCAATCTTGAAGTAGAACGGGCAGTTTACCCTGTCCTTTTCCGTCCCGAAAATCGACGCCAAATGCTCTGCCATTTTCTTCAATTTCTTGGATTCGCAAAGTACGGAAGAACGAGAGGGGTTCAATCGTTCTAGGCTAGGGTTTGTGCGTATATACTCAACATGATAAATGTAAGACTATATTTATTATATGCTAAGTAGGAGTATACAGCTGGTTTGCCCGAGAGGTTAAGGGGGAAGACTTAAGATCTTCTGCACATAAGTGCGCATGGGTTCGAACCCCATAGCCAGCATTTTTATTTTTTTAAGGAACTTGCACGATAGTTGTAATTAATGTTTTAAGCTAAGAATATTGTGCTATTTTTTAAATTTTTTTAAGTAGTAATACAAAAATTTTGGTTAAAGTAATATTATGCAAGTTAAGAATTTAAATACAGCATAGTTATGCTCTCCATGCACAGTTTCTTGAAAATAAATTTCTTTCATGTTTCTCAATAATGGTCTAGAGGCGATTGGCGAATGAATAGCTTTTCTTTAGATTTCTTGCAAGAACAATCAT